AACTTTTTGGAATTTTAAGGAAAGACCTCAAAATTTCATGAAAGAATCCAGCAAGTAAAGCTTAAAGAGTTTCAGTAATAAAGTTTGAAAGCTGACAATAGTTTGAAGTGGGTTGGTGAGTATAAGATGATCGATTTTAGATGGATAGATGGAGGAATCTGAGTAGATGAATGACTGCGAATAGTTTGTAGGTGGTCAAAGTACACATGGCAACATTAACACTTTGGTTAGCTGTGTATACATATTAGACTACAGAGTGATGCTGTATATGCGTATATGTCCGGCATATGTGTAAGTACATACAGACACGCAGAGAGTCCTGTCCTTCCCCCCCCGAAAATGCCAGCCCCGAAGACAAAGCCTCGTCTTATGATGGATAGTCTTTCATTTGTGCGTTGGGCTCATTTGCTCTGAAGTTTATGCATTCTGGTAACAGTAAAGCTATCTGAATCCCCCAAGTGCTCCATCTTGTAAGCTTTATGCCTTCCACATGGTTATAATTTGAGATTTTCCCGATTTTCAAAGCTTTTTTTGAGCCTAGTGTTGTTAATTAAAAAGTGGACTAGTTTTGTTGTGGCCTTCTGTGTTGCCAAGTAGGGAAATCACCGCCTTCTTTCTTGCTCTTTCCATTTCTTTCTTTGCCTTTCTCTCTCTCTCTCCCTCTCTCCCACCCTCTCGTCCCATCTGCCTTTGTCAAGAATAAAGCGAGCCCAACCACTTTGTAAATGAAACATCCTCCCACTATTAATGGGATTGAGCAGATGTTTTCTGTTTGGATGGTCAGAGATGGGACAGTAAAGCCTGCAGCAAAACAAAACAAAAAGATTTTCTGGAAAAAAAAAAGCAAAAAAAAAAAACAAAAACCAGAAAGCAAAAGCAGATATTTATGGAAATGATTATATCACTTCCCTCATGTCCCATACGGGCGCATGTCTCGCACACATGGCAAATTAGAGGTCATCCCTTCCAGTTTAGCGCATGTCTAAGTGCGTGTGCCAGCGATCTTGGTACTAAAACATCGTAAATAACACTGTAACCCCTGGGACAAGGTGTTATAAATAGGACGTGTCAAACCCTGCTCCGGCCAGCCTCTGGTTTCCCCGAAACCTTCTCTTTTCACCCGCCGAGCGGCTCAGCTACTTTTTAATTTGGCCTTCCCGCGGGCTAACCGACTGACGCCTCTCGGCGAGGGCCTCTGTATTTCAACAACGCCACAAAAGCCCCAATTCTCGGGTGCTCGCACTCACAAAGCTCTCCAGCCTTTCTGAGCTGTTACTTTTTTGGAGCCCAGACATCAGCAGAAGAGAAACGCCGGCCCTGGCCAGAACACAGCGGCCAAGTCTCATCTGTCAGAAAGTCAGGGGCCAGACTCTACAGCCACGGGGTGGGCAGGGCCCGACCAAAACAGAGCAAGGAGGAAGAACGAAAGAAAGAGTGGAGAGTGGGGGAGAGAGGGTTTGAGAGCGAGAGGAAGCTCCCAGATAAACAGACCGCAGCGCCTCAACTCCTAATCACCCTGCGCTTCCGTTTCCAGACTCTATAATTAGAAGGGCCCCGTCCCTTTTTTCTCTGTATTCCCAGTTGACGCAAATGCTTCTTGTGGCTTGGCACCTCGTTTGGGGCGTGGGTTTTCAAGAGTTTACAGGCCCTGGGCCTTAGCTCTCTGGCTTTCTGGTCGCTCTGATACAGCATGAATAGCTAACCACTGTCTTAATGCACACTTCACTTGGCCTCTCTTCTACTTTCTTCCCTCCACCTCTGATAATCTGTGTGACCCCATCGCTCATTCCCTCCGTACCTCCCTCATTCCATCTCCTCATCATCTTTGAATAGAACTGTTCCTCACTCACACACAAGTCTTAAAAAAAAAAAGAAGCCTTTCAACTTTGAATGAATGTGCAAAATTTTGTAGCATACTTGGCTTCTTTTTTCCACAGAGGGAGTGTTTTCCATCTCCCTTGCACGTGTTGCTAAATCCTTTTAATCTCATGCCATTCCAGCCTCCTCTTTTCACATTTGACATGCCACCCAATAAAGCCCGGCCACTAATTAAAACCTACTGCAGCCTCCACATAAAAGATTCTAAGGGGAAAAACTCAGAGAAAAATTACTAATTACTTTAATATCATTTATGTCTGGGAGTTGTCAAAAGGACAGAGGTTTGAATATTTCTCTCCCTCCGTTTCAGTGATATATTTCCAACATTCCGAGTTACTACCCGATAAACGGGTTTGTTTGTAACATCTCTAAAGGCTTCTGGGGATGGGTTTTGGGTTGTGCTTGAAAAGCAGCGCAGCTTTTTTCCTAGCCAAGCCAGTTTAGATCTGGGTTTGTTCTGGTGTGGTTTGTTGAGCATGTTGTTTATGGTGAGGGCCTATACTTTCTGGAGTTTGACGAGCTTCAAATAAAACCGGCCCAAATGAATGGGCCTGTCAGTGTTGGTTACACTTGTGTTGAGCTGTGGTTCAGTGTTTCGGTGAATCTCCATGTGCATACACACGCCCATAACCGTGCACTGATGTATGAATACATAGATTCTCTCTTTTACAGACACTCATCATCTTGTCTGTCGTTGAAGAAGCACACGACTCGGGCCCTGCTTTTAACCAGACCAAACTATCATGAGAGGGAAGGCTGCATTTTATGACAGCGACAAACGATAGCTGGCTTTGTTTTAATGGGCTGGTTTGTTTGTTTTAAAGGCACACTAATTCTGTCATGCTGTCTAGCATGTGTCCTGCACAGTTGGTAGTGTTGGCTGCTTTTGTGTGAGCCACTGGAGTGAAATACAGTTTAGGCATTATGGTTGGCCTGACTTTGTATCAGTGAGCCAGTGGCAACGTTTAAACACACTGGCCCAATTAAGAGTACGATGGGCAACAGTGATTGATGTAAAACTAGACTTGCTTTTTTCTAAACTGGAACAGCATTGAAACATATATCTTTAGTAATTATCACTAAAAGTTTGTACTTCCATCCTTCCATTATCTATACACCGCTTAATCCTCACTAGGGTCGCGGGGGGGCTGGAGCCTATCCCAGCCAACTTAGGACCCTGGACAGGTCACCAGTCTATCACAAGGCTACACTAAGAGACAGACAACCAAGCACACTCACATTCACACCTACGGACAATTTAGAATCACCAATTAACCTCAACATGGTTTTGGACTGTGTGGGAGGAAGCCGGAGAACCCGGAGAGAACCCACGCTGCACAGGAGAACATGCAAACTCCACGCAGAAAGATTCCGGTGCCCCCACCGGGACGCGAACCGGCAGCCTTCTTGCTGCGAGGCAACAGTGCTAACCAACTGCACCACCTTGCAGCCCAAGTTTGTACTTAGAGGAAAAAAAGCATAAAAATACATATTTAAAAAAAAATTATATTGGTCTTCTCACTTGTTAAATGTTTGGATTATACTGCATCACACTGAGTTTAATGGGTTTTATAACTGATGGAAATCTATACAAACAAGTTGCCATGTGAACACAGTACACACAGTCGAGTAAAGGACTGAATACACCCCTAAAATATCTCACATATCAATTTAACATCAGATAATTTCAAACTGTATGAGCTTACAGTCATTGCATTACTTCTGAGTTGAGCAGAAGGATATTTGCTCTCATGTCAAACAGTTTAGCTTCACATTATTAAACAGACAGGCCCCACAGTATGAACTCAATGCAACTTTGATCTTCTTTAGAAGATCCTGTGTGATGTTGGCAATATGCTCTGGATCATTATCATGCTGCAATATTCCTCTTCTGCTAAGCTTCTGCTGATTGAGAGTCATCTTGTGAGCTAGTGTTCTGGTATATCCACAAGCATACATGGCTCCATCTCTAACTGTTATCTTCCTAACTCCCTTTGCAATCATGCAGCCCCGTATCACCACACTTCCACCTCCGTGCTTCACTTTCAGGACTATGCATTCACTGTGGTAACCTCGTCTAAGTTCACTAAAACATGCTGGACCTCATCTGGGCTGGATAAATTTATCTTGATATCACCAACGAATTTGCTTCCAATGTTCATCAGACTTCTTTACATGTTCATGTTGCAGAAGAGCAAGCTTTTTGGATGCCATTCTTAGAGACTTACGTTATACTGTGTCTTTCATAGTGTCACAGAAACTCTGATTTACACTGATAACACCTGTGCCAACTTTCAAGCACTTATTTGTCTGTGTTTCAAAACTAGATTGATCAAGTAGTGCACATTTCATTTTAGGAGGACCATTGCAGGATTGATCCATAGTACTATAGCTCATTCTATACCTTCTCATCACTGCTGCAACTGTGTTTGCTCACATGTATGTAGTCACAACTGAGAAAGTTTTTGTGTTCATAGGTCATGTTAAACCCATCGCCATGCATTTAGACTAAATGGAAATCACAGCTATAATTAATTTTGTTGTGGTGATCACAGGTTTTCTAACTTGTGTGTCAGTGATTGTGTGCATCTTCATTTTTGTTGAGTTTCTACTATGGGGCCTGTAGTTTTTTGGCAGCCACGCCTCTGTCAGTCTACCCCAGGGCAGCTGTGGCTACAATCGTAGCTTACCACCACCAGCGTGTGTGAATGAATAATTGACAGTGTAAAGCGACTTTGAGTGTCTAGAAAAGCACTATAGAAATCTGATTAGAGAAAATACGATGCACTCATTGTGAGGTGATTACATTTTCAATCACTGGACATTTAAGTGATATTGTGTACTTACTTACTTTTACTGTTACTATTGAAAACAGACAGGCTGAAAAATGTTTCTGTTCACAGCCCCTCACACCTGCCCCGAGTACCTTCTGTGAAAAGCCACCTCATATGCACTGAGCGTGGCAGCAACAAAAACTATAACCAAGACTTGGAATTCATAGCCCAAAAAAGCAAAGATCATATTTATGGTAACTGTTGTGATGGTAACACCTAGTTTATGCTTAAGCTGGCTATAAAATGGATTGTTAATGTTGATGACTGTTTGTTGTGTGTTCATTGTAGGAATGCTGCTGGTTACCTCTGACACGCTGGGCCATGATTTCCACGTGTTCCAGATCCTCACCCACCCATGGGCGTCCTCACAGAGTGCTGTTCACCATCTCTATACCCTCCATCGTGGGGAGACTGAGGCCAAGGTCTGAGACGCACACACACACACACACACACACACACAAACTTTGATGTATTTCAAATCAAATACATCATCTAAATCCTTATTGTTGATGGTTTCTGTGTACTCGAGATAATGACAGCTAGGAAATGCATTGGAATCCAGCTCAAAATCAGAGGGATGCACAAGTTCAGCAACAGAGAGCAGCACAATGATGATAGTTTTTAGAGCTAAAACTCCAAAATACTCAAATTCCAAATTCTTGAACTGTTTTGGTCACATAAAATGAACTTCCAGAAGACAAAAGGGCACTGGAGCACACCGATTAATTCACAGCCTTAAATAGTGTGAACAGACTAATATTTCAACACGACGGTCTTTTCATCATCTTCTGATGAAACAATTTAAACTTTCACCTTCATTTTCACTTCCAAAAGACATGAAGCAAACTCATGCCTTTGTCCAGTTTGACTCTGATGAAGACACAGTGGTGTTGAAATGTTTGTCTGTCTGCGCAATTAAATGCTGTGAATTTCTCAGTGTGCTCCAGTCCCTCTTTTTGTCCTGTCTACGTTTGCTCACCTTGATCTGAGATGTGCAGAGAACCCTGTTATGACTAGCTTACGGAAGGTGGCTGGCTTGGCCAACAGGTAGCACTCTGATTATTATGTATGCTGGTATTTACAGTAACGCAGACAATATTAGAAAACACGACCAACCAGAAAGCAGTAGTAAAATAGGTTTAAGCAAAACTTCTATGGTCTAGTTAACCTTTTACACCCAGCAGTTCCGACATCAATACCATCCTGTCTGTTATTAAAATGTGACCCAGTGATGCCATTTTGAGTGTAGCTCATTTAACTATAAGTTATATATATAAGCTCACCAAATGGCTAAAAAGTGAGGCCACCTCGTTTTAAAAAGATTAAAATGTCTGTTGCATTTAGGGTAGAGTGCTCTAGCTTCAGTGTTTTCCATAATAAAATGTTTAATCACTAATTATAATATTTCTTTATTGAACTATTTTAATTTGAAACCAAAAGGGAAAATGTTACATCAGAATTTCACCCTCTTGCTTTGAATTTGTACACCCCAGCATCAACTCTGTCTGCCCTCCAGGGATGTGACTTAGGTAGAAAAGCTGGGGGACCCAAATTGTTGGGTGTTTTTCGACCGTGATGCCTGTCTTACAAAGGCAACCAGTGGTTTCCGTCGGCCACAGCCTCCAGCAAAGTAGGCCTGTGGGCGCAGACAAGGGTGAGGAGAGGCTCAGGGAGCGGTGGAGGGTGAAGGAGCTCCAGCATTAATAGATATGATAAGCTGTTTATGAGCAAGGGAGGACAGAGGCTGGGAGCTTGTTTATTCAATCACTCTTTGCATTTTTATTACATGCTTTCATGGCGGTCTGCATCTGACACATTTCAGTGAAACTATCAAACATTCTTTCAAACTGTTTTCTTATTGCTATTGATATAGTTCTTATTGGAATACACGCTGCTGTAATTTTATTGATGAAAATTTTTAGAAAGAGTTCAACCAAATCAGTGTTATTTTGTGTTCCTCATTGACTGTTGATGTATAGTTTTAGGACATAGTCTGCATTATTTATTCCTCCACTGTCACACAGTCACATACTGTTAGATGTTTCCCTGAGACCTACTTGAATTCATCCCTTTACAGATGACACACGATGATGCTATGCTATCGAGTGCCACAATGTACAAGTCATAGAGTTTATTAACACTACTACACAGCCAAATAAGTTAGAAACAGTCAGAGAAGAGCTTAAACGCAAGAGTTGGTTGGATTTTATTTTATTTTTTTTGCATTTTAGCCTTTAGCATTTGCATTGAATCAGGTGAAGAAGACCCTTATTTATTTATTTTAAGTTATTTTTTTGGCCTATTGGATAGTACAGTGAAAGAGAGACAAGAAAGTGGGGGAGAAGAATGGGGGGAGGGTGTGTGGAAAAGGGCCATGAGTGGGATTTGAACTCATGACCTCCACATCGGGACTGTAGCCCTGTACATGGGACACCAGCCTAACCAGATGAGCTATAGCGGTGCCCAAAAGACGACCCTTATTTTAAATCTAAATCTTTATTGAATAATTGTGTTGAATATTCATGATCTAAAACAATCCTGATTATCAGTTCAGCCATAATGCAGTGCTGCTCGGTTATATGCTATGATTTTGGCTACAGGAAAGATTACCTTTAGCAAAAAATGTGTCAGCAGTGTCCTGCAATAGTTGCCACTACACAAGGCAGCACAACTTCTGTGTTTGAACATTAAAATCAGCACACAAAGCTCTGTGTGGACGTGTGCCAAGCCAGACCTGAATGGCGTCCAAAGCAACAAACTATTTTGCATGTCTTTGCCTGTGTTAAACCATATGAAAGCTCCAAACGTTTTACTCTCAGAGACCATTTCTTCTAGGTGTGTTGATGCAGATAAGGTTCCCTACAAAACCACCCCAATCGTTCTATTGTATACAGATATATTTTTTTCTTTCTGTCTATATATCTGGTGAAAATTTCTTTGCTTTTTATGATTACAGAAAAACAAAATATGGCATTGTCAGTTTTATCCAGTATCATGAAGCCCTACTTTGAATTTCCCTCAATTCAAGGACATGCTCTTGTCTGCAATACAGTATGAAAGGTTCTGTGAAAGCTCTTACAGCAGCAAGACACAAATGAGGCATAGAATGAGCAAAACAAGAAATACAAAAGTATAAAAAGGCTAAAATTAATTATATATTGAAGTATATGTAAACTTTTCACATGTACAGATGTGGCATGATAAACATATATGTGGATATGTGCAGGTATGACGTGATGATAACGTACCCACTGGTAGGACACAGATCTACTTTCCCTTCATGTAGTAAAGGTAGACCTGTTGGCTTACTGTCGGCTTTCAGTCACTGTAATAGGCATACAATACATCCTTAATGTATTTAAAGGTGAGACCTGAAATGAGCAGCGAAATAGTAGGATATCAGTCCACGTTTTTCAAGATAAGATGTTTAGCACTTAGAAGAAAAAAAAAAGAAAGAAAAGAAAAAAAAATCCCTCCACTCTCAACCATGACATCCAGGGACCTTGCGGTGCAAGTTAGAAATGCTTACTCAACAAAACTACTTCAGGCCTTGTTCAGTTCAAGATTATTGACTGGGAAAACACACCATGTCACACACACACACTCTCACAGCCTGCCTGTAGTTAATGTATGACCAAACGGCAGGTCCGCTGACCGGCTGCACACTGAGCCTGCTTTGATCCAACCCGTTGTAAACACTGAATGCCAGCCCCAGACTAGTGCTTGGGCCAGGGGTTATCACCACACACTCACACACACACACTCAGAAACACACTGGAGAGTGATAAAGTCTTCAGTTAGGTGGGTGGAGAGACGCCTTATCTGTCTCCAGTGGCCAAACATGCGACTGGCTGTCAGTGACCCGAGGCCAGGTAAACATACCTGCAGCTGATAACAGCTGTACGGGGCTGAAGGTGGACCAGAATGTAGACGAGCTTGGAGCCACGGCAAACTGAAGAGCGCTAGTCACTGAGGTTACAGGGCTGGCACTCCTTTACTGCTATACTTTATAGTCCTACACCATCAGCTGTGACTCCAACAATGTGGGTTTATGCTGATTTCATTAGCATATTTACATACGCTCAACTAAACTGATCTGCAGAAACTCTTTTCCTGAAGCCTTCATTTACATGGGAAACTCATTTTCAGCAATGAAACCTGATTCTTCTAGCTACCCGATTCTTTATGTGAAGAGAAAACATGGCGTCTAGAAGTGTGCCTGTGCACCACAAAGCTACGACAGCACAGTGGCACAATTAAAGAATAGCTCATTACATGTAGAGAGCCGGTGGTTTTGTTGTGCTGTCAGTCTAAATCATCAGGAAGCTGTGGGTTTTTTTTGTTTCTAATATACTTGAAGTAAGTAACTCATGGTCCAGTGTATCACTAGGTGTATATTAGCTGTATGTAAAAATCTGATTGCTTTAACACCGTGAACACAAACAATATGAACAGATGCTTGATATGCTGTTGGTGCTACATGTAACATTTCCAAGCTGTCAGGCAGGTTTACTGTGGTATCAGAAGTAAAGATGTTAGAAGCAGATCTTTTAAGCCTTGAAAGTTGCAAATCGGAGCCGGAGCACCAACCTATTGCTGCTTCATAGATTACATGGAACACAGTTGGGAGGTAGTAACTACTGCTGATCCGGAGCACCAAGCAAGCCCAGTGGTATTGGTCATTTCCTAGTTGTTAGAGTAGGAACATGGAGTGTTCCCATTTGATTTGAAAGCATGGGTAGTGCCTTCACACAGTTATAGATCAAAACTGTCAGCTTAACTCACAGCTAGCAGTGCTGCTAGTAATACTGTTTGTTATAATTTAAATAATAAGTATTTAATCAGTCAAGATAAGTCTTATTTATTATGTTAAAGATGTCCTACACAGACAGTCCCTAAAACCATCTTTGATTATCCTGGTGTTATTGTCTTAATTGTAGGTGAGTTATATTATATATATCCTATATATGTCCTCTCTCTTCAGTCTTGTCCCTCTGTCCATTCTTGTCACAATCTCATCATTCCCCCAGAGTTCCTCTCAGGTGAATCTCCCAAACTGGTGTCACTGATTAGAAAAAAAAAAGAACTAAAGCATTAAATATGTCTTCCTGTCATCTGACTGTCATCAAGTACTCCGTACACAGACAGTGGGGTGAGCTTTCCAGCCTCTCTGGAATGCGCTGCCTTCACATCACCACTTGCATGTGACTTAAATACTGTTGCATTCCACCATTTTAAGATAACATTTGACAACTGTTTGATATCTGCAGGGTTGTCAGGCTATGAATGTACAATTACAGCCACCCTTCAGGTAATCCTCCACCTGATAAAATGGATTTGACAGTAAAATCCAGGCACCCATTTACAGTTGGAGCTCTGACAGGTCTATTATGACCAATTACGACACACACAAAGTAGCCCTTTCTCATCTCTGAGGCATCCCTAATCAGCCACAGCAGAGGTCAAGCCTCCTCTTTCACTCATCTTTGTGAAGTAAGGTAACTGTCTGGTATGCAAAGGATGCCATATTAACTGTCATTGCTGGGGACAATTACCTAGTCTGACCTGGCAAAGGATTAGAAAGGCCTGCAGGTACAGAGCTGTCTCTCTGACCGGCTCACTAAAGAGTTAGACGTTCATCTTAACGTTCTCCTGGACCTTTTGCTTTCATTTTTTCCCCATTCCTGTCTACCTACTTCAGCCTCAGGTGTTTTTTTTGTTTTTTTTTTTAGTGCGTGCCAAATGAAGGATGCAGTTTTAACACACAATCACTTCATCAGTCACCTCGCTCTTTTGTCTTTTTTTCATTTTCTCTCCGACACTCTCCGTTGCTTGCATTGTCTCTTGCAGCCTATCTGTCTGGTTTCCTGCATGTCTAACATGCTCAGGAAGATCCTATCTTCTCAAGTGTCTGCTCCCTGAGAGTTTGAGGAGGAGGAGGAGGGCTAACAAAGGGCGCCATCAGCTCTTTTGTTTTACTTAGCTATTTATTTTACCACCAAACAAGCTCATATCACGCTGTCACCTATTCCAAAAGATATTGTCTAATCCTCTCACCCCGGTCGCCTTTGTCATTCACCTCAGACACAATTGTTTATCTGTGTGATAAACCTCTCCCAGTCACACTAATGTTTGCTGGAATGTGACGCAGGTTACTTCCGCTGTACATATTTCTAAGGTGAAGAAAAATATTCCAGAAAGACTTGTGCATATTTTAAACACAACTGTCTAGTTTTTTTTTTGGATAAAAAAGCTGAGGAAACCCAGTATTCATCAGGCTTCTTCTCATGTGAATTTCCTTCTTGCTATTTTGTTCTGAAAAACAACAAATAAAAAAATGTTTTTCTTGGATTCTGTCCGTAGAGGTTGATGTCCATCATACTGCTTGAGCTGTCACAGAAACTCTGATATCCACTGATAACCCCTGTGCCAAGTTTAAAGCGCCTACCCATCTGGTAGAAGTAATGTCTGTGCTTGTTGCCTTTCTAGTAGGATTTCTTTTGCTTTTTCTACTTTGGGGCCTCTTACTTGAATATAGTCTGTGCCTATAGAAATCAAAACTGTACCTGATTTAAATTTGACGACCATTCAAGACTAAGTAGTCTCCTTGTGCAGTGATGCAGCACTTCCAGCACTTCTGTTATGTTTCTAACGCCCCCGGGAAGTTCCGGCATGTAAACATGTCAAGCATCATCTGCGATTAAATCTCATAAACTGTGTCAAAACAGCAACCATTCAACTTGAATTTAATTTTGGGGGAAAAGGGAAGAAGTCCCAAGTTTCAAATTTGCTGAGTAGGGCGGATGGGGAGCCACTGTTGTGAAATTGTGGCCTACAACTGTCTGCGTGATCACCAAACTGTGACCTGTTGTACAGCACATTGGAGCACCCACATGCCGGCGTGCCACAGCCCAGGTAGTTCCTGCCAAATGTTCTCCCTCAGACACATCAGTACATCCTAGTAGAAGTCTGTCTTGACAGTCCAGCTCTGTGGGATAATTTCCATGTGAATGTGAAAGAAAACAATGAGCATGTTCCTAGTGTTTCTGTCCTGATGTGAATTGTCTAGTTTTGGATACTGTGAGCTTTTGCAGTGGGAAAACTGTTGTTTCTTCTGTTGGTGGTAGCCACAGAGACCCACCGCGTCTCCAGTGATGATCCACCACATGAAGGTTGGATCATCTGGGCTGCTGACTGACACAAAATGATTTCCAATCTGCTCCAGTTTGCTGTCCATAGAGAAATCTCAAACAGGCACTTGTATATGTTGATTTCATTTTTTTCCCCAATTTTTGTAGAGTAAATGATCAAAGGAATTCATCTTTGTTTCTTTTTTATGATTGTATGGCGATATAACCGTGTTATACTTCACAAAAGGCACGTTTGAGTTCTCTTTGCTTTTAGCCTTGTTCTGCTGTTTCCAAGCTCACAGTGAGCAAAAATGTGACTGAAATGAAAAATACCCAGGTTGAGGTTTAGAAGGTTAACTGTTAACTGACCTTGTGCAGCGACACAGTAGTGAACTGTTGTGGAAGAATGACAGGTTACATACAGAGAGCATTTGCACAGTAGCAGTAAGGCTAGCAAATCTCCAAACTCCATGTTCTATGCCTCTCTTTCTCTAAGTCACGATGTCTAAGCCTGTCTGCACCTGTCAAGAATGTGATGAATTCTGCAGTATTAATGAATAGAAAATAATTAGCTTTGTTTTGACACCCCACCCTCTAATTTGTGTATAGGATGATGTTTGTTTGATCTATTCAAGAATCAGTCATGTGCTTAGTGATTGGAAATATAGTGGAATAATTCTCTGTCTTCACTTTCTACTGTCTAAACCCTGTATCCCTGTCCTCTCTCTGTGACTTTTCTTTCTCCATCCAGGTCCAGGACATGTGTTTTAGCCAAGACAGTCGCTGGGTAGCCATCAGTACTCTCCGAGGCACCACCCATGTATTTCCCATCAACCCCTACGGTGGGGCACCCTGCGCCCGCACGCACATGTCCCCGCGGGTGGTCAACCGGATGTCTCGCTTCCAAAAGAGCGCTGGCCTGGAGGAGATTGAGCAGGAGCTGAACAGGGCGGCTGCGTTAGGAGGAGGAGCAGGAGGCATAGCAGGAAGTGGCTGCATTCTGGGTGGTGGAGGAGGCATCGGGGGCCGCTGTAGCCCCATACCAGGCCTGTCCAGTAGCCCCTCGGGTTCTCCATTGCACGGTGAGGAACTGGGAGGGACGGGAAGTGAGGGTCGTCTTGATGTTTGCATGTCCAGGATTGCATCTTGGTGACCATGTGGTGGGTGGCAGACTGCAGGGTAGATGCAATTCACAGGGTTCAGTGTAAGACCTCATGTGTTTGGTACGTTCTTTGATACAAACAGTTATTGTCAGAATAATTTATTTATGTCTATGCACTCACACTCCCAGTGTAAAGATCCTAGAAAGCGAGCCCCACCTGAAACGTTTTGGCGGTGCACCAAACTGGTTGTCCACCAGCTATAACATGCCAGCAGGGTTAAATGTGAACACTGCTGATGAACTGTGTGGTTTTTCATCAAACACTGCAATTTATACAGTACACAATTGAAACCTTTCTGTAGTCAGAACCTGTGACTTCTTTTCTCTGTTTGTCCAGTGATTATGCCAATCAAGTTTATTCAAGCACGATAGTTGTGTCCTCAGTGCTGACAGAAAGAGAGAAGGGCAGGATTGTGTTGTACAGTACTTGAGTTGAAACTGCATTACTGGCTTTAATGGTTCATTCAGATTCATTTGGAATATGTTGCACTTGTCTCAATGGCCATTTTATATTAGATTCATTTTATAGCTGAGATTATAGGGAGGATTGCTGACATTTGTGTTGTTTTTTTATTTACTTTTTAATGTGTCTGTGCTGGCAAGTGGTAAGAGGCGGAAGCATGTCCCAGCTGATAAAAGCAGGGTGCATCCTAGACAGGTGTAACTGAAGAATTCATTCATTTATTGCTCAACATTTCCCACAGTGTCTAACAGGATACAGTGAAGAAGAGATGAGATTTGATTACCAGTAAGCCAAAGTTCAAGTCTGGATAGATATGGATGTAAACTGCATCTTGACTGGCTGGTGGAGGAGATTCTTCTAGATTTGTGAGAGTATTACCCATTTGAGTAGTTCCATATCTCACACTAAGAAATGTGGCCACTTACAACACACAGGGAGCAATGTTAGAAATCATTTAGAGGCATGTGTGTGTCCACATGTTGACTGTAAGTGCAGTTGTCACTTTCTTTTAAGATCTTTTTTGATCTCAGTGAATATCTCTTTACCTGCAACAACCTCACAGTAAATGTTTTTTTTGTTTGTTTTTTTAAAGCAACTTTTATGGTAGTAGTTACTTCAGGCTAGAGATTACTACAGTTGAGTGTGTGTGTGTATGTGTGTGTGTGTGTGTGTGTGTGTGTGTGTGTGTTAGCAGCGACCGGTCATCTCAGTAGCTCTTTTCAAGGGACTCCCTTCTGTCCGACACAACCTTGTCTCCCCTGTTTGTCAAACACAACTGCAGGCTGCTCACACTGTTTGTGTGTCCCTAGCTGATACACATTGATAAACACACACTTTGTGTCAGCTGTTTGACCCCAGAGGTGTTACTCCATATAAAATATCCCAATTCTCAATACTCATGGACTTCCAGGAATATCCCTGAGCTTTGATAGGTGTCCTGGCTCGGCTGAAAGATGATAAACACTTCAGAGAACTGGATGACTGGGAACTGACCACTGGGTAATTTTACATAATATAGTGCAACGTAATTTACAGCTTCTTCTGTACGCTCCTTTCATGAGATTGTTTTCTGCATACTGGAGTGGAAACCGGCTCACTTAACCTTCAAAACAGCTCAGGACAAAAGAACCATTTTAGGAATGGGAGTGTCACGGAAAGTCATTGACATGTAAAATAAAGGTCATGGAAGCAGCTGTGCAACGTACTCCACGGGAGATTAATTTAAAGTATAGCTTAGCTGGTGTTCAGACCGGTTTCCAAAAAACTGTATATATCTATAGAACCAAGAAGTGGCTTTTCTGAAGAGGGAAAATATTGGACTGTAGTGTTTGCCCTCTGATTTTAGTTGGTTTTTCCCCTAAATTTCCTCCAAGCTTGGTGTTGAAACGCAACATTTTTTGAGATTTGACATTTGGGATTTAGTCTTGTCAATGCTATCAGTCTCAAGCGTTAGTGGGAACCTGTAAATTCTCTTCCATCTTATCGTGTTAAACCAGTGATTCTGGCCTTTTTTGTGTCTGATGTATGCACACTGCCATGTCAGATGGACTCAAATGCCTTCATCCTGTTTTCACTGAATGTTACTGAACACAGTGGCTATGATGACAATACTTTTCTCACACAATTAAACTGTCAATATGAAACATCTGTTTTCACTATTAATCCATTCAGTTTAGCTAACTGTTTAGACTCCTCTGCCCGTCTGACAGCTTCATGCTTTTATTGGGTTTAAAGCATTGATGAGGTACATTAGTTCACTGTATTATCCCAACACTGACATTCCACTGGATTTTTTAAACTTGGTTTTACAACAATTTTATTACAACAACTAAGACTTAAAGGTGGAGTTAGTCGACATGAGAATGTACTATTTATGTGGGGGGCCGGGCTCAGGTGGTAGAGTGAGTTGTCCACTAATCGAAAGGTTATATCGATCAAGACACACTGACCCCCAAGTTGCTCCATGATGGGTGAGCACCCATTTGTGTATGAGTGTGTGAATGGATGAATGGATGAATGGATGAATGGATGAATGGATGGCTTTGTAGAAGCTAGCTAGGATTTAAAGGCTCTATATAAGTGTCGATATTTTCCCATTACTGTCCAAATACTGTACTGAGATGAAATATGTCAATCATCAGACACAGACATTATCATGGATCTGCTTAATTTTTGTTGACCAAGACTTCAGTCTGGTAAAATTTTGGTCACAAGTTTAATATTTTATTTAATCAGGATACTTAACTTCTTTTTGTGCTGCTCAGTGTCTTGGGTCTGTGTATGTTTTCTTTTTTGCTAAATAAGTGAATGTGTGTATGTTTCAGACAGGCCTTCTTTGAGTCCGAGGGTTGGAAATAGTCAAACATTTGCTTTAGCTAAGGCTAGCAGTGACAGATCAGCCTTATCCAGCTGTGCTAGTTGAGCACAGTGGATTATTTTTTACGCCCTTCTTGTTGTTGTTATTATTATTCACAGTATTTAAAAAATAAATACATAATAGAGTACAATTATAGTAATTTTACAGACATTAAAAAGTCAGATTCTGGTCAGTTTTGTCCAAATATGTGGGTACTGATCTTTGACTTTGTTGTGCAGATTAATCGTCTCTTTAGCAACACTGCAGTGATGCATTGTGGGTAATCAGGACTGCTAATATTGAATTTAGAGAATTTTTGTATCGGTATGACCTTAAGTTAGCAGGTTTTTAATTCTAAACAGACTAAACACGAAACAAACACTTTCTCCTCTGTTTAATTTTCTGTTACATATTTGCAGTACATTGTGATAAAATCACACAAATATAAGTTCAAAAAGACACAACAGATAGAAAACCTGATTTATATCTAGTCATATATAGTTATGCTTAATTTCCTTCAAGCTGCTCCCAGGCTCCACTCTGTTAAACTTGCACCCTGCAAGTCCTCATATGTGACAGAAGATGCTGGGTTGGGGGGCTCAGGGTCAAGTCATATTGCTATCTGCTTGCCCCAGAACTCACCCTGCACCCCAAGCCTCAGACACACACACACACAATCACACTAACACACACACACACACACACACTCTGAAAGACGGCGCCCTTGCTTCCTTTCTCCTTCCTGTCTTCTTTGTCTAGACCCGAACCCCTCTGTAACCCCTGTACCAGCGTACACACACACATTCCTCCGCACTGTGAAAAATAGGCCATCAAACATTAAAAGGATGTCTGACTTTGGAGAGTCACCGCTCCACTGCGATGAGAGACAGAGAGGGACAGAAACATCAAAGTGGGGTAGGAGGTGAAAGTGAGTGAGCAAAGTAATGAGGTGCAATTGAGAAAAATGAAGGAGAGATAGAGCAGGGGAATAAAGGAGGGGGAGGGCGACAGACACAAGGAGAGAAAGATAAGTTTGTAGTAGCAGCGCTGAAAGCCGGGGTCTCGGGGAGCGCGCTCGTAAATCACACTTTTGTTTCAAAGGGGAGCATTAGGGCCACCTGTCAACAATTAGTCCTCACAGTGATACCTAACGATCCACAGCACTGATCATTTTTTTGTGGTGAAATACATAAAAAGGAGCCGGTCAGCATCTTTTTTTTTTGAGGAAATGGAAGGTTTTCGTAACTTAGTTTATATTAAAATCCACAGGAAATTGATGTCAGGTTTCACACTGCTTTTGTCCAGCTGTTAATCTATTCCACACTAGCTCATTTTCTGAAAACTATAACATCCAGCCCCTTACTGTGTGATGTACGTGGTACTTATAGTGCTCTAACCTCCTTCAGATAGCGGCGTCTGCCACTTTTTAATGTTTAGTATGGTGCGCTGACCCTTCTTCTATTCTATAAAGTGAGATACAATATGTCTGTGCCTGTAGACTGCGATCACATCAGACGCTCACAATAGAGGCCATCGCTACGTACAACCAGACTGTGGTTCCAAGACCTCTGTAAAGCATGCTTGTATTTAGATTGAATGAAAAATCCAGAGCATTTGTTTTAAACGAGTAGAATAATCAAATGCAAATTGTGCTCGAAAATAGAATTCATATAAATTAATTGAATTGCCTTTTTTTTTTCTGTAGCACAGTCTTGTTTATTGCCATTGTCACGGCAGCAGATTTCTAAACTATGCAATTTTAAATACAGTACAGTGCATTTTGGGGGCTGCTCTGGGTGTTGTGCGTTTGGTGATAAATTAGATTTGTCAGACAAGCTCTTGTGCCAAAACAAGTTAATCCTCACCCTCAAGGGCCAGCATATATTTATATGGTGCAAAAGTACCAAGAAGTGCATATTGCAGCAGGTCATTATCAGTTCACCAGTGAGATCTCTGTGGCATAAGGTCGTGTAGATCTCCGCGTGTCTGTTATTTTGAAGATAAATCGGCTCCGAGGCATCCTGCCACATGTAAATTTAGAAAGTCGGCCCCCTCCACCACTGCCGCTGCTGCCACCAGCGTTGATAAAAAACTCCATAAT